GTGACCGTTCCTCGATTTGCCCGAGTCAATCACGAGACGAATGGCTTCTTCTGTTTCTTTTGTGCTGGCTGACGAAGAAGGGCGTGTCATCTTAAATATGGCGCTGGGCTTGGTGATGTTTCGCCGTAAATTTCATTGGAAGGTCATGGAACGCTGTTACTCGAAGGCTACCGATCGTGATTGATTAATTAACAGTGAGACGCTCTTGTTTCTCCTCTACTGCCATTCTTCGTCCCGAGACAATTCATTTTGCTTCGATCAATAAGAAAGATAAAGCTACTTACGGTCTATTTTCGACGTATCTTGCCGATCACATGGAAGAACGGAAGAATATTTGTATTTTGTAACAAAAATTCGCTCGGTTTACTTCCTATCGAATAATACGTTCTTCGTTGAAACCGTTCGACAAAACACGCAAGAATAATATCAAATCACATAGTACATGGTAATTCCATTCTAAATATCAAACGTCGATTCTATCATGAACATATGTACACATCACGAGATCCGCGCATTGCTTGCAGCGCAGCGCAGCAAACTTCACAGCAGAACACCAGTGTTCCGGAGGTGTTCACGGGTTTCAATTAGGCGCAGCCAAGGATACGCTTTCTTGTGGCTATAACTTGTGGGCGCAGTCACGCATTTGACGATCAATTAACGGAACGCCGCGTGCAAGGCGATAGAAAGAGAGAGAGAGAGAGAGAGAGAGAGAGAGAGAGAGAGAGAGAGAGAGAGAGAGAGAGAGAGAGAGAGAGAGAGAGAGAGAGAGAGAGAGAGAGAGAGAGAGAGAGAGAGAGAGAGAGAGAGAGAGAGAGAGAGAGAGAGAGAGAGAGAGAGAGAGAGAGAGAGAGAGAGAGAGAGAGAGAGAGAGAGAGAGAGAGAGAGAGAGAGAGAGAGAGAGAGAGAGAGAGAGAGAGAGAGAGAGAGAGAGAGAGAGAGAGAGAGAGAGAGAGAGAGAGAGAGAGAGAGAGAGAGAGAGAGAGAGAGAGAGAGAGAGAGAGAGAGAGAGAGAGAGAGAGAGAGAGAGAGAGAGAGAGAGAGAGAGAGAGAGAGAGAGAGAGAGAGAGAGAGAGAGAGAGAGAGAGAGAGAGAGAGAGAGAGAGAGAGAGAGAGAGAGAGAGAGAGAGAGAGAGAGAGAGAGAGAGAGAGAGAGAGAGAGAGAGAGAGAGAGGGAGATAAGACTTTAGTTTCCTAAACAAGTAATTAACAGTTGCGATACGTGATGTAACCGAGTGCGTGCAGTAATAGCCCAGAGAAATTTCGCCGAACCCGGTGCGGCCGGCACATGTCGATTAATATTTATAACGCGATGCACTCTTTAATAACGCATTCCGCGTACGCTGTCCTTCTTATCTCGCGATATCTTTGCAATTAATTGCCGCCTGGCAAACCGCTCGCCACTAATTAATCAAAATCTTCTCTTCTAACTGTTGCAGGTAAGAGCGCTTTGACGTTTCTCCTACGCGAACGCGTCGTTCACGGTGATGCCGGTAAGTGTTGATACCCTCTGGAGCGTGATACAAACGACGATGTACATCTGGTAATTAGAAACGCCTTGGCACACGGGAATTTTCCTATCAACCGTGTGCCAACGGTTCGTCGCGCTTTGCGAAGGAAACGATCGCGTTTCGCAGCGCAATTTTACGCCTCGTACCTCGATCACATCGAGTATACGCAACCGACGTTATGTTGTTAAAGTTATTAGGGACGTTATTAGCAGGAATCTCGGTATTTTGCTTCTAACGGCACCAACGCTGGCTGGCTTCGGTGTTTCTATTAACGTACTGTTTGTCGTTAGCCAAGGTTCATTCAATAGCAGCAGGTATGGCTGTTTCGTGTCGTAAAGTCACGTTTTCATGCATACGCGTGTCTTGTAAAACGATATATGTGAAACACGCGCGATGGTGGTTCTTCGGTAGACGAGACTGCAGGTTTAGTCTTTTTTGCAAGGTGTCTATGGTGTTTGACGAATAAATCGACGTTAGAAGTTCCTTTCTCGTGATATTTCTCTTAAATACGCTTCAGTTATTTTGAAAACAGCCATCGTTTTAAACCGATCATCGAAATACGGTTATTCTCGTTTGAAATCCAGAAACTTGGAAACAATTGTATCCGTTAGCGAAATATAATCTTCGAACTGATGTTACTACTTTTCAAAAGTCATATTTTCATGCATAGGTGTGTCCTTGTAAGACGATACATGAGAAACACGAGCGATGGCGGCGAGACTGCAGGTTTAACGTTTTTTGCAAGGTGTTGTCACGCGCTCAAGGAGGGCACACGCTCAGAAACTGTAATACGATAGCCTAACACATGCATGCCACAGCCATCAAAACAATAACCAAATAGTAACGGAATAACTGCCTCTGTGTACACCAGGGGGACCAAAACCTCAGTGTAAAAACCCTCCCAAATAAGCGCTCGGGATCAGTCTGTTGTAGCACTTTGAACAGTAACTCTGGTGGATTTGTATAATAAATTCTATTATCATAAACAAAGTTCAATTTCTTCGCCTCATTTGTGAAACGTTCGAACTGCGACGCGACGAGATCACCGGCGATCTATCATTTTCGTAATTTCTTGTGTCTCCTACGTGACAGTGGCTACGTCGTTTGACGAATAAGTTGATATTAGAAGTTTCTTCTGACATTTCTCTTAAATACGGTTCAGTTATTTTAAAAACAGCCATCGTTTTAAACCTATCATCGGAATACGGTTATTCTCGTTTGAAACACAGAAATTTGGAAACAATTGTATCTGTTAATGAAACGTAATCATCGAACTGATGTGACTACTTTTCAAAAGTCACGTTTACACGCGTAGGTGTGTCCTTGTAAGAAGATATATGTGAAACACGTGCGATGGTGGTTCTTCGGTAGATGCGACTGCAGGTTTAATCTTTTTTGCAAGGTGTCTATAGTGTTTGACGAATAAATTGATACTAGAAGTTCATTTCTCGTGATATTTCTCTTAAATACGCTTCGGTTATTTTAAAAACAGCCATCGTTTTAAACCTATCATCGGAATACGGTTATTCTGGTTTGAAATGCAGAAACTTGCAAACAGTTGTACTTGTTAGTGAAATATAATCTTCGAACTGACTACTTTTCAAAATAACCCGTCTGATCTTTCCGTATCAACCAAGCAAACAAAAATAAAACAGTTCTAGTGTTTGTAGGTTGAACGTCATTCGTACGATATTATAACAAAAATTCAAGGTGATCGTTAAAAAAATAGATACAAACGTAAACAATGAATATAAACATGAAAATGACATATTGGATCAACGCTTTTTGTTACCGATATTAACTCTAAAGCTACCTCAATATAATTCTCCTAAACAATTACTGCAAACCTAACCTACAATTCTGCAACTTTTCACGAACGAAGCTCAACAACCTCTGCCACCTCAGCCAGCTCGAAATTATCAGTTTCTATTCAATCAGCATTACACGCAGGTGAATCGAGCATGATTTCATCGGCTGTACGTCGATGGCGTGCTCGCTTATTTATATCATTTGCTGCCTGGTAGGGCGTTACGGACAGGGCGAGTATCCACGCGCTTCTGTTGGCGATACGCCGGCACTGGTCGCTCGATAACTTCACGATGGCCGCGAAAAGATTGACAGCCGGATCCGTCGATGAGTTCCGTCGGACCGAACACGGATTTTCTGCGATTTTCCGCGCGATCCTCGCGCTCGTAGGCCGTGCACGTCTCGCCGAGGTTCCAGAGACTCGCATTCAATTCGGTTCGCGTACGGCCTCCTCGTGGCACGTGGTGCGTCGGCCGCGCCGATCGCTCCACACTCCACGCCGTTTTCCATTTCGAATCTCTCGTTTCGCTCGTATTTTCGCGAGTCTACCGCGCCCGAAAGCTCATTTCGATGGAGTAACACTGGTTTTTTTGAAATAGCTTGTACATACATCGAAGTTTCAGAGGCAATATTTTACGAAGCCGGACTGGCCGGAATTTGCCAGTTTTTAAAAGCACGCCGGGCAACCGCGGCGTGTACAGGGTGGTTTTTAGAAGGGGAAACGATTATGTGGGTGGAGCGGTGGGAAAGTCGATGTTTTCTATTTTTCCCTGATACGAATTGTATAGTCGGAGATAACGTCTACAGCGGATAAAACGAATGAAAGATGGAATTGATACGGGCGAAATATCGGCCGCGGACCGAAGTAAATTAATCGATTAACCTTCGCGTTTCAACCAACGCTCCGCTGAAAACTGGCCGACAGATCGATCAGTTTCTATTTGCATAACGAAAACAAATCACAGGAAAGCGTTCGTCAAATATGTATATTCCCGAAAGAAAGACGTAATTTTCTTCTTTAAAAAACGTACACCAAGTATTGGTGAAATCTGGTTTCTCGACGAAGCTACGCACCCTCTCGTACACATTCATCGTTCGTCTCTTAGGCGTTCGGTTTCCTCATCGACTCTGCAATTTATTTGGTCCGGTTGGAAACGAATACGGGTAACGACTGGTGGAATACGGGCGATCAAATGTTATCGAGCGTACGCGTCCCTTTGTTGACGCAGAAAGAAGCAGCGTGACAGCGGTTCGCAACCCTCGATCCTTCCATAATCGAATCGAGGGAGGGACGTACATAGCAAACGAGCGAGTGAAAAGCAGCAACGATAGGATACGATTCATCGGCGGAGCAGAGGAGATTCTCTGTTCGCGGGAGAAAGTGTAAAGCAGACAAGGAAGACGAGGAAGCAAAGGAGAGAAAGAGAGCGAGCAAGCGTGACGAAGACAAAGAGAAAAGGAAGAAGAGGGAGGGCTAGATATACGCAACCACCGTCGTGTTGGATCACGGGGGCGTAGAGAGAGGAGCGAGAGAAGGAGATCGGCGGACGCGGGTGTACAGGGGCAGAGTTAGAAGAAGACAGAGAGAGACATAGACGAAGAGCGTAGCTCAACGCATGTGCACAGGGCGCCTCGCGTCGCGGCGCTCTGGTCCCGCCGGTCGGAGGCTGCGAAACCGAACGGCCGGAATTCGCGGACCAGAGTGGTCGCATCTCTCGGTTCAGATATACACGCGCAGCGCAAGCCCCAGGTCCGCGGTTTTCCATGAAAATCGAGGAACGCGCGGCCCACCCGACGCTGGCCAACGCTATCGTACCAGCTGAATCGCGCGTCGATCGTCGACGGAATAATGCCGCCGCGAGTATCGTTCCGTCATCGGTGACGAACAACGATCATTTCGAAGCACACGCTCCACGATCGTATCGCGACCACGGTGTGCACGTGCGACATGATCGTCCGGAGAAAAAACGTCCGCTGAATCCAGCCTATCGCTGGTGTGTCCGAGTCTCTACAGAGGGAAGTGCGTCCAGTTAACAGAGACGATCGTACGGCGCTCTGAGGCAGCACACGGTGAAGTCATTGGAGGAGAGTTGACGCGGTGTGTCTACCACTTGGCGAATAGAAAATCTTCTTTTATCTGTCGCGACGCCGGCGGATGTTGTTGCATCGACAGGCTTCGCGGATTCAACCAGCTGCATTCGCCTCAGAATTGAACACGAAATACGATCGAATGAACCAGTGGGGTTCATGACTCGCTAAGGCAATCGCTCGCTTATTTTTTATTGTTATTCATCGGCAGACGGCTTGGCTGTGGCTGGCACTCGCGATACGTTAAACGTTCCACGACCGTTTACTCAGTGGGATTTTATGCGAAACGTTGACGCGAGTAGGTCGAGTGGTTTTTGTTAGTGTGCGGGCGTAAAGGACGCGAAGAAGAACACTGAGAAGTGACACGCGTATTTGAGAATACGGCACCGATCGCGGATTCTGTGAAACGGTGGTAGCGAACAGGCTCGTGTGAGAGAAGGGTGATGGTGATTGGACTCGAATGGTCGCTTCGCGTCGTAGAGCAGAGTAAGTTTCCACGAAGGACACATGTTTGGTGGACGGTGTCGGGTCGTTTCCACTCGAGGCCAAATAATTCGGTGCTGGCTGGCTCGGTGACTGTACGTGTTCACGTTCGGTCTGCCAGGACCACGACCACGAGCACGACTAGGGCCACGGGGCTGCCCGAGGAGGTGCCGGTGCGTGNTGGAGGGAAGAACCAGCCACGACGGAGCCCAGCGCCGGGGCACGGACAACAAGGCCCCCGGTGCAGGGAAGAAGCCAGGCAGAGGGGGAAACCGGGGCCAGCGTAGCAGCAACGGCCCTGAAACTACAGGGGAACCTAGCTACCCCCTTGCACAGGGGGGAAACCAGGAGGAGACCTCGCCGACGGAGGCGACGGAAAAAGAAGCGACGGAGGTGAGCGCGTTCACTCCCATTCTTCCTCATTTTTCACCGCCATTCTTCGATTCTCCGTTTCTTTTCTCCTTCCCCTTCCTCGTCTTCGTCGTCAACGCGAACCGTAGCGATCCTTAGCGTGTTTTTATTCACAGCGTGCACGGTTGCACGTCGTCGAAACTGCCACCTCGACACGTGTAACTCGCACCGATCTTTGGAAACGAACGAGATTTCCTGGAGCTTTTGCCACCAGGATTGAGTCGTCGTGTCTCGTTTCTCGAGCGTAGATTTCACGATTCGTGGAAGTACGCGGATCGTGTCACGTGCACCGGCGAAAAACACAGCGGTGCACCGGTTCTCGCGGCCTCCCTTCGGATATCGAGCGCGAACGCTAATAAAACGATGCGCAGCCAACCGAATTGCCGCAATAACGCGATGGAGATCCGGTTTCGCGAGCATCGCCCGGCTTTTTACGAATTATCCACCGGAGAATGCGACCGGTGTGGTCCTAAGAGGGAGAAATGCCGGCTGAAATTCCACGGCTGTCCGTCGGTCGAATCTCAACGAGCCTTCGATTCGAGACGGACGCGAAACCAGCGAGTTTCGAATCATGGATTTGTTTGCTCGAGAAACAGGCCGCACACGGAATTCGACGCTCGCGACAACAATGAGCGTCGCGCGTCTCGCTAAATATAATTCGCAGTTCTGATTCACCGGGAAACTAATTAATTTGGCCGGCCGTCTCCCGCAATTTATCGCTCTAACACTTCCAACCGTGTAATCCAGCCGCGCGAATTGGACGCCTGCACGACGGCATTCTTACGTTTCACCGATTTTTCAAACAAAATCGTTTTTCTTAGAACGCGTCGAATAGTAATCACGTGTCGCTAATATTTAAATTCCACTCGTTTTTCTATGGACTTGGCGAAGATTTCAGAATATTCTTCTACGAATACTCTCAAACTTATTGTACACTCTCGCTATACCGTAATTAGATTCCTGTCATTAACTCTGAAGATTTCTTAATGGTATGTGAAAATCTCGAATATTATCGCTAATATTAAAAATATCATTTTTTCTTCCTTAACGGATATAAGGAAGGTTCAACGATGTCCTCGCTCTCTACTCAAGCACTTAATTATCGACTCTGTTCTACGATGATGCGTCCAAATCTATAAAACTGTCGATTTACTAAAGACGTAACAATTTACACTATCCTTAATTAATATTAAAATGGGATAAGGAGGAGCGACGTAAAATACGACGAACGAGCCGCGTGTCGGTCGAATTAAAGGGAAGGCAGAGGGTGCACGGTCGTGTTTACGTACAACAGGTCACTCGTTGAATAATTTAGCAGAGGAAAATATTGGAGAGCGGCTAGTGACAGGCCTTGAACGTCGCCAAGAAACGACACGAAATTCGCTTGAACGGTGCATCGACTGGCCGCAACGTTATGATAAAATGCGCGACGTACGCGCAGATAACGTGACGTTTAAATTAACGCCGCTGCCGCAACAAGCGACACGCTTCGAGTGTCACATTACGATAGCCTCGGTAACGGTTGATCAATGCTGCCGCCAAAATTCGTTACCGAATTCCTGCTTATTCATCAAAATTGCCGCCGCTATCGATGAAACGTTCCAACATCGACGAAGTTATCTGATTTTTCCTCGTTCCTCTTTTTTCCTTTCTCGTTCATTCTATTTTCTTTCCTACTATTTTTCATCCGCTTTTTTCCCCCGATTTTCGTTTCCCGGGGGGGTATCTTCCGCTAACACGTCCGCCCGATGAAATCGAAAGCCGCGCCCCGTAAAAATAAACGAACGCGGTCGCGCTAAGCGAATCGAAGAACGAATAAATTGCACAGGTAGCGGGAATCGAAGTCGCTGAAAGATTAATCGTTATTGGCGCGGGTGCGTCTGCTTCGTAACACGTGGCTGCCGTCGCACTCTATTTGGGTCTGTTTTAACGCGATCGATCGTCTGGCGATAGATTTTTTCGTTTGAGAAAATCCAAGAAATCAGGAATTAACGTAATGAAGATAGCGAGAATAATCGATGAAATTGCTTTCTGTCGTATGGTCGAATCGTTAATTTATAGTCTTCTTGGCGAGTAAATTTCTTCGTATTATTAGCGTGTTCGTCTTTTCGTAGTTTTATGATAATTGTAACAAGACCGTGGTAGATTGCCTGGAAATAAATTAATCGTTTGGCCGCTTTCACGTTTTCCGCTACTTCTGCGCGTTTACGCAATACGTTGGTCTTCACTCCTCCTGTACAATTAGCGATGCCATGGATAGCCAACTTCTTCCCACGTTCCTTTCTCGAATTTCCTTTCACGCGAAAGACGTCGCAGAAACTAAATATCGATTCGTTTCTTAGAAGTCTGCAGCTATTATTTCCAAGGAAGATAACTTGGTTTTTTCAGCGAAATGTAAATGTGAATATTTTTTGAAAACAATTTATAAAACTTCTTGCGAGTCCGTTTCTTTGATAACGTCGTTTCGATACTGCAAGTTTCATTTCTGTCAATTCCCATCTTACCACAAGCAAAGAACGATATCTTCACTTCTCCACCAATCAATTTCCCCAGCTGCACGACATCTTCATCCAAACAAAGTTTGTGATAGCAACATAACCTTTCGATGCCCAATACCAACTTAAAAATAAAAGAACAGAAATACCCGTGTCACCTATCACGATGATTCAAGAAACTGGGAGAGGTTAACTTGTCAACTGCCAACTTACATCTTACCACAAGCAAGAAACGATATCTTCATTTCTCCATCAATCAGTTTCCCCAGTTGCACGACATCTTCGTCCAAACAAAGTTTGTGATAACAACATAACCTTTCGATGCCCAATACCAACTTAAAAATAAAAGAACAGAAATACCCGTGTCGCCTATCGCGATGATTAAAGAAACTGGAAGAAGTTTCGCTCACTCGACCACTGGATACACGCGCTTTCTCAACAGTCCTTGCAAGACTAACGACGACGCAAGAATTACCGTTTCCTCGAAAAGTGCGGGCGCGCGATCAGGCTGCGTGGTGCGCCGCGTGCCATGGTCATTCGATAATTCGCTAACCGCTCTTTAATTGTAATTGTTCCGCGGCGGATTCCAGGTCGGGCCGTGGGGTCCACGCAAAAACACGGATTCCAGCGTTAGCTGCAATTGGTCGGTTGGTTCTTGTTGTGTTACGAAGGCGGCCATAGCGCCGACCGCTCGACAGCGCGTCACAATGCCGTTTTTCTTCCGGCGCGTCAACAAATTTCATCGACGTGCCGATCGGATGCCTCGCTGTCGACCACCNTGTCGACCACCGCGCCACTGCGCGTGGAACGAGCTTCCCAGGAAACATTCCTCCGGCTAGTTTGTCCGCGAGCCTAGATCGCTTACCTAGATACCTTAATGGCCGGTCATTTTGATTAAATGCCGATAATTGGCGCTCGATCAAGAGAGCCGCGAGATCGTTCTGCGTTCGCGCCACCAGTAGATTAATCGTTCGTCTCGCCAAATAAAATCGGTCTGCCGTGGAAAAACCGTGAAACGAAACGATTTATCCGGTTTGATTTCTTGTAGCTCGACCGATTTCTTTCCGTTTATAAGCGTTTTATGCGCTACGGATTGAGTAAATGATATACGTTCTATTGTAGAATTTTGATATTGTAGGAAGTTCTTCTATCGAATGATCAAGTCATCGACTCGTCTCTCGTGCCTTCATAAAGTTGGCTATCGCGTAATTAAAGGCTGCAGCAATCTTCTGCCCATCAAAATACGTAGCGAGAAGCGAGAAATGAAAACGAATGACAGTAAGAAGTAACTAGAAACGACCACGTACGAGAACCCTCGTCTCGATCGTCATTCAGTTACGTGTCTCTGTGTGATACTTCGGTAATACTCGTACGCGGAAGACAAAGCCTTCGGATCTAAAAGTACAAAAATTTATTTGCCACGAATTTACAATTCTTACTCTTTATTACAATAATCCCTTCGACAAACAAAATACAATTGGCCTCATCGTTACTTACCCGGCTCCCAACACTCTACGGTCCGTATTTTACTTCTCAAGGCGTCAGAAGCATCTGCCATCTCGACAATCTTCCAGCTTTATGACATTTAAAAAAAAAACGCCATGCTGGTTTTTTTTTTTTTTTTTTTT